AGGATAAACAGAAGCTAAGGGATTTTGCCAAAGCCAACCCTGCTATGAAAAACATCCTAAAGAAAGTTCTGTGGACTGAGAACCAACAAGAACAGACACATGTGGCAGCATCAACCTGAACTCAGTCGACAAATGGAAGAGTCAAGAACAGAATAAAATTATAAGAACAGAGGATCTGGGAGGTCAGTCTATGATCAGAAACCCTATACAGGGTCTCTGTGAGTCAGAAGTGACTGACAGTATTTAATACAACTATATATATATATATGGAGTCCTGATGTGGTACTGTAGGATAAGCACTCGACTGCAATGTTGGTTTGTACCACAAGATCAGTGGTTCAAATCCACCAGCTGCTCCTTGGAAATCCTATGCAGGGTTGCTGCAAGTTGGAACTGACTCGATGGCACTTAACAACAATAACAATATATATTGTTACATATATTATACATATACACACACACATAGAGAGAGAGTGCCATGGTGATGCAGTAGTTAAGCACCAGGCTGCTAACTAAAAGGTCAGTGGTTTGAACCCACCTGCTGTACCTTCAGAGAAAAGACCAGGTTATCAGTTCCCGTAAAGATTACAGCCTAGGAAGCACTATGGGACAGCTTTCCTCTGTCCTTTAGGGTCACTGTGAGTCAGAACCTACAGCACACAGCAAATACAGCAAGTAGGTAGATAGACAGCCTGCCCCTGTCTAAACTCCAGGATAGAATCCCAAGGCCTGGCACAAGCTGGCTTTTAACCTCCCAGTAAGGTTCTACCTGTGGTTTGCAGGTTTCACTGGAAACAGAGGCCTGGGGAGAAGGTTCATCCCAAGGTGGGCTCCTGCCTCCCCTTGAGGGACCCAGTATACCCTAGAGGTGTAGAGCACCCAGAGATCCATGCTGGACCCAGTTTCCACAGGGGCATTTACCGATATTCCCTCCAACTTCATAGAGGTGGATGTTGGCTGCCTCCCTGGACCTGTTGCTGCAAGACAGAGAGAAGAAAACTGATGGTTGCTTGTTCTGCAGATAGCAAGGCCAACAACTGCTTACTGACCCCAGACTGGAGTGGACGGTCCCCACTGGGTGTTGGTCCCTACAGGAGAATAGACAAAAGGACCATCCTGAGAGAGCCTACCCAGGAGCAAGGACAGGGAAACTGGAGGGCATTTGACAAGGGCCCCGGGTTCCCTCCTACTGGGCATAGGAATTGGGCAGCTGTGAGGTGGTAGGGTGAGGGGGACAGATGGGGACAGGAACTTGCTATGAAGGGCACATGCTGAGTTCAGATAGTGGTATGAATATGTAAGTTTTCACTGGCCAATTTTTTTCAGATAATGGTAGTAGCTCATCAGATCCTTCTTCCTAGTCTGTCTTTGTCAAAAGCTCAGCTGAAACCTGTCCATCATGGGTGATCCTGCTGGTATTTGAAATACTGGTTGCATAGCTTCCAGCATCACAATGACTTGCAAGCCATCACAGTACAACAAACTGACAGATGAGTGGTGGAAATGCTTACTGATGAAGACCAAAGACTAAGCCTTCAGTATGTGTTACATCTCAATATTAAGGAAAGAAAAATCCTCATAATTAGGCCAATAAGCAGCATCATGCTAAATGGAGAAAACATTGAAGTTGTCAAGGATTTCATTTTACTTAGATCCACAATCAATGCCCATGGAAGCAGCAGTCAAGAAATCAAACAACACATCACATTGGGCAAATCTATTGCAAGAGACCTTTTTAAGTTAAAGAGCAAAGATGACACCTTGAAGACTAAGGTACACCTGACCCAATTCATGATATTTTCAGTCTCCTTTTATGCATGCAAAAGTTGGATAACAAATAAGGAAGACAGAAGAATTGATGCCTTTGAATTATGATGTTATTAAAGAATATTAAATATACAGTGGACTGCCAGAAAAGCAAACAAATCTATCTTAGAAGTACAGTCAGAATGCTCCTTAGAAGAGAGAGTGGAGAGACTTTGTCTCATCTATTTTGGGCATGTTATCATTAGGAGGGACCAGTCCCTGGTAAAGGACTGCATTCTTGGTAAAGTAGAGGGTCAATGAGAAAGAGGAGACACTCGATGAAATGTATTGACACAGTGGCTGCGGCAATGGGCTTCAACAATTATAATGATGGCAACAATTGTAATGATGGCACAATAGGCAGTGTTTTCGCCTGTTGTACATCAGGTTTCTATAAGCTGAAACTGACCCAACAACAACAAGAGCAGCGTGACTCAGTATTTATTGTATGTTGTTGTTGTTGTTGTTATGTGCCTTGAGTTGGTTCCAGCCGATTGCTACCTTGCATAGGGTTTCCAAGGAGCTGCTGGTGAGCTTGGACCTCCAATCTTGCAGATCCAACCAACTTTGCAGTCCAGCACATTAACTCACAGCGTCACACCAGGACTTCATTTATTATTGTATGATATTTACTGAAATCCTGAGTCCAATTCAAGAATCTGCCCCCAGTCTCCTGCATATCCTTCTCTGATATTAGAGTTCCCTTTGAAGGGACTAGAGAAGTCACTCACTAACTACTGAGAGGCTATGGTGCCAACTGCATCTAGGGGCTGCTGAGGGCTCAGGATGTTTCTTGCCTCCTGGGATGATGGCTGCACAATAGCTCCACTGACTTTCTTTCAGCTCTTTGGTTAGGCCATGCTTCTTGCTGCCTCAGAGCCTTTGCACATGCAGTTCTCAGTCTGGAAGCCTTCTCTCACTCCCAGACTATTCCAGATACCTTATTTTACACTCACACTTGCTGCTTATATTTCTTATAGAACCTAATAAAGTCAACAACTTCACATTAATTTTGTGGTTATTTGATCCCTGTCTGTTCTTTCCATAAACATGTCAGTGCAGGGCCTCTCTCTGTTCTTGGTTATTCTAGCATTCCACATGGTGCCTGGCTCGTAGTTTTTGTTGTGTTGTTAAGTATCATCGAGTTGGTTCTGACCCATAGCGACACTATATAGGGTTTCCGAGGAGCAGCTGGTGAGCTTGAACTGCTGACATGTGGTTCAAACCAACTTTACAGTCCAGTGCATTAACCTACAGGGCCACACCAGGCTCATAGTATGCACTCATTAAATAATTGTTAAATGAACCATGTCTACTTCCTTATTCTTTGGAGATCAGAAACTTTCTGAAAAGGTTGGAGACCTCATTTCTGACCACCCTAGATAGGAAAAGGACAAAGGCCAGGAAGACAGCAGTCGCAACCCCTTCAGCTCTCAGGTGACCGTTTCTCCCAGGGCTCCCTCAATGCTCCCTGCAGGGGAGAGACTCCAGCTCCAGGCAAGTACCACTTACCATGGGAGAGGGCTGTGTGTGTCCTCGCTGCCATCTTGGCCCTGAGACCCAGGGTGGAAGGACTCTGAGAACTGCCTCAGCACATGGGCCACTTTGGTGCTGGGGGTCAAGAACACTTCCATGGTCTCCTTGGTAGACCAGGGCACCTGGATCTTCGCCACTTTGAGAGTCTGAAGAAAGAAGGATCCAAGCATACAGGCACACACATGCATGTCTAGAATTCTTCAAACATGTGAGGTGCTTGTGCACAGACCATATCAGCACATGCATGCCCATGCACCAATGTGGGCACACTCAAATACAGGTGTAGAAACATACATGTGAGCATGTGTTCATACTCATACACATTAGAAATGCATGCAATGTGTCTACAAATGTACAAATGTACATAAACATATGCGTATAAGTAACTCAGCACCCACACCCATTGTACATGGTGTAGGCACAACACTGGCCAATTTCTATGTTCTGGACTTTAATAGAGTCACTTGGTGGTATAAATGGCTAATGTTCTCGGCTGCCAACAGAAAGCTTGGAGGATCAAATCCAATCAGAAGATTGGCAATTGAAAATCACTGAAAACCCTATGGATGACTTAAGAAAAACAAAGTTGGAAGCCTTTCACTTCTTAATCTTAAAATGTACTACACAGACACAGTGGTTAAAACAGCCTGGTACTGGTACAACAAAAGATGTATAGATCAATGTAACAGAACTGAGAACCCAGAAGTAAATTCATCCACATACAATCAGTTGATCTTTGACATAGAGTCAAATGATGTTTTAACAAAGGGCCCAAACACATTTAAGGGCGAAGAGATTGTCTCTTCAACAAATGATGCTGGCAAAATTGGAAATCTACTTGCAGAAGAATGAAACAAGACCCATATCTCATACCCTATACCAAAACAAAAGGAGCTCTGGTAGCGTAGTGGTTACGAATCGGGCTGCGAACCGTAAGGTCAGCGGTTCGAAACTACCAGCTGCTCCGCGGGAGAAAGATGAGGCTTTCTACTCCCGTAAAGATTTACACCCTCGGAAACCCTGTACAGGGTCGCTATGGGTCGGAACCGACTCGACGGCACTTAACAACAACAACAACATACCAAAACAAACTCAACATAAAGACTTAAACGTAAAACCAAGAACTATAAAGATCATCAATGAAAAATAGGGACAACTTAGGGACTCTGACATATGGCATAAATACACTATCAAGTATGAATAAAAACACACAAACAGCAGAAGACAAAATAGATACTGGGAACTCCTAAAAATTAGACACATAAGTGCATCAAAAGATTTCACCAAAGGAGTAAAAATATAGCCCACAGACTGGAAATTTTTTTCTTGCAATGACATATCAGACAAGAGACTAATCTCTAAAATGTATAGAAAACTGCAACACCTTTACAAGAAAAATATAACCCAATTTAAAGATGGGCAGAGGACATGAACAGACAACTTCACTAAAGAAGACATTCAGGCGGCCAACAAACATATGAAGAAATATTTGTGATCATTAACCATTGTTGTTGTTGTTAAGTGCCATGGAGTTGGTTCTGACTCATAGCAATCCTGTATAGGGTTTCTGAGGAGCAACTGATGGGTTTGAACCAGTTACCTTGACGTTAGCAGTCCAGCACTTATGCTACAGCACCACACCATTAGCCATTGTTGTTGATAAGTGCCATCGAGTTGAGATACAAATCAAAACAACAATGAGATATTATTTCACCCCAGCATCATGCAAAGTTCAGTAAAACAGAAAACAATGAACACTGGCAAGGATGTAGAGAGACTGTGGAAAACGGCATGGCACTTCTTCAGAAAGTTGGAAATGGCAATACTGTATGACCTAGAAATCCCTCTACTTGGAATATAGTCCCAAGATTTAAGAGTCAGGACACAAGTAGATAAATGCACAACCATGTAAATCGCAGCACCATTCACAACAACAAAAAGATGGAGACAGCCTAAACACCCATCAATGAAAGAATGGGTCAACAAATTTTGGTGCATACACATATGGATACTATGCAACATTGAAGAACAACAATGAATCTGTGAAACACCTCATAACATGGATGAACCTGTAGGACATTGTTGTTGTTGTTGTTATGTGCCGTCGAGTCGGTTCCGACCTATAGTGATCCTGTAAGGGTTTCCAAGGCTGTAAATCTTGACGAGAGTAGAAAGCCTCATCTTTCTCCTGCGGAGCGGCTGGTAGTTTCGAACTGCTGACCTTAAGGTTCACAGCCCAATTCGTAACCACTACGCTACCAGAGCTCCTTATGCTAGTGAAATTAGTCAATCACAAAGGATAGGTACTTTATGAGACCATTATTGTAAAAACTCAATAAAAGGTTTACATGCTAAAAGAAATATTTTTTGATAGTTACCAATGGTAAGAGGGAAGGGAGAGTATTTCGTTGGCTAAAGGGTAGACACTTGTTATCCCAGGTAATGGGGAGGGCAATATACAAGAAGGAGGCTGGCAGAAGAATTATGAAGACAGGTTAAAGACACAGGGAAGATTGCAAGGGTTAAAGGGGATAGAGGTAAATACTGTTCTATACACAACCCTACAACCACAGTGTTCTAGTAGATACGTGGACAGATACATAGGCTGAATAGGCATGGAAGGGAGAGTGGGAGAATACCCACAAATACATAAGGGTTTGACACAGGATATTGGTACATGGATACCTATGAAAGCGGTGGAACATACAGGGGACAAAATGATGAAAATTTCTTAGACATTACTAAACACCTTGAAGCAAGGAGTTGCTGGGCCTGGGGGCTTGGGACCATGGTCTCAAGACACCATGATCAATTGGCATAACATAGTCCACAAAGACAGTATTTTACATCCTACTTTGGTGAGTAGCCACTGGGATCTTAAAAGTTCACGAGCAACTCCCACTGACCTGGAGATGATATATATATATATATATCCTGTTGTTGTTGTTGTTGTGTGCTGTGGAGTCGGTTCCGACTCATAGTGACCCTGCACAGGGTTAGAACACCTCATCTTTCTTCCACGGAGCAGCTGGTAGTGTCGAACTGTTGACCTTGCTGTTCGCAGCCCGATTCATAACCACTATGCTACCAGAGCTCCTTATATATAGCCTGAGGGTCAAAGAAAAAGAGAAAGACCCCCAAAGAGATGGATTGGCCATGTGCTAGCATCGATGGACTCAAGCGTGGCAACAGTAGTGAGGTTGGCCCAGGATAGGGCAGTGTTTCATTCTGCTGTGCCTAAGGTCGCTATGAGACGGTACCAACTCGATGGCACCTAACAACAACAGCTACTGGTCAGAAAGAGACTGGAGGAACCTGAGACTATAACCTTGGGCTACCTTTTCAGGTCTGGAACACAACTCACTCTTGTGATTACAATTTTCAGTTAAAATAGGTACATAGGGAAACAACACTAGTAAGGTATGCTCACCATGGAATCGTCAACAATTCAAGACCAAAAGGGCATCACCTACCTAAGGACAGAGTTGAGAAGTGATGGGAAGGAGGGTGGAATGGAAATAAAGAACCACAGGGAGGAACTGGGCTAAGTGTTGTTGCAGGGAGGGGATTGCAATCATTGAGATGAAACAAAGGGTAGGATTCGTTGGAGGTAAACTGATAATCTTCTTTTAACTTCACTCAATTCACGATAAAAAGTTTCAAAAACCAACCAAACAAACAAAACCCTATGGAGTGATCTGACACAAATGGGGTCACCGGCAGTGGGAACCAACTCACCGCAGCTGGTTTGGTTTGGGTTTAGATTTTAGTAAGGAACCATGTTCACGAATCCTCTCAGGGACACAGTATTCTTGGAAGATCTTTCCTTCGCTTCTGATCCCTTTTAATCCCGCACCCCAAAACATGACCCCCACTTTTCCACCCCTCAGCCAGGCATGCAAGAGGCTCCCTAACAAAAGGCCAAGGGACAATTCCTCCCGCTCCACTGCGCCCTCACCAGTGTTTCTCCTTCCGCAGTACCCTACCGTCTCCAGTATTTCGGAGGTACGGGGTCCACACTCCATACTACGGAACCTGAGCGCTCCCTGGTGGTCCAAAGAGGCAGCGCCGTCTCTAGCTGCATGCAGCAAGTACTGAGAGGGACAGTGATGCGCGACGCCCCTGGCCACCCTTGCTCCCTTTCTCCATGCGTCCAGAGGGAGGGACTCACAGCCTCCAACCTATCTCCCGCCTTGTCTTGGTCGGTGTGCATCCTCCGCAGCCAAGTCTTGAGGCCCGGGTCACAGAGTTGGGAGCGCCGGTTGCTGTTGTCGTTCAGTTTTCGCACCTGGGAGACCAAGAAGGAGGCAACCTGGCCAGACAGAATCTAACCTTAGATTGCTGGTGTGGTAATCAGGGTTGCTGTGGCCTCTTTCCTGTTCCCACATTCCACACCTTACTTGACAATACATATGTTGAACACAGGATTGAAGTGCTAATTTGGTGGGAGGAGAAAGGACATTGAGACCCTAGAGGGGGTCATTGAGCTGGGGACCCTGAGGCTCGGGTGGCAGAAGCCTTCCAGACAGAAGGCTGGAGGGTCCTGCCCATGCTGTGGGACATATGTCGCTGACACACCTTGGTTAGGAGTTCCAAAGGGCACACCTGAAGCGGGTAGGCTCTGAGAATCCCCAGCCAGCTCTGCAGTAGAGAATCCCCACTCAGCCCTGCCCAGAGTGACCATGCCCCTTTGTAGAATCAACACAGAGCCAGGCTGCATGGTCCCTGGGAGCAAGGGGTTCCTTGATTTACTGGGTGTTGTTGTTGTTTGCAGTGGAGTCGGTTCTGACTCACAGCAACCCTGTACAGGGTTTCTGAGGCGGTAAATCTTTACGGGAGCAGAAAGCCTCATCTTTCTCCCACGGAACAGCTGGTAGTTTCCAACTGCTGACCTTGAGGTTTGCAGCCCAATTCGTAACCACTACGCTACCAGAGCTCCTTGTGTGAGGGCTAAATGAAATGGTGCACATAAGCACACCTGGCGAGACTGGAGGGGAAATTTGGCACCAAGGGTTTGCACTAAACTGCTAATGTAAAGACTGGCAGTGCAAACCCACCAAGTGGTGAGGAAGAAAGCCCTGGAGATCTGCTTCCATAAAGATTACAGCCAAAACAAAAACAAAAACCCTATGAAGCAGTTCTACTTTATAACACTAATGGGGTTGCCGTTAGTTAGAATCAACTCTGGGTTTGGGTTTGGAATTTTTTGATATGCTGCCTGAAACTTTTTGAGGGAATGCATTGGTATTTCTTGAAATTAAAAAAAAATTCCTGTGATAAAAACTATTATAAGCCAATGTGTTTAATGAACTCTGGTGGCACAGTGATTTAAGCATTGGCCTGCTAACCAAAAGGTTTGAACGACCACAGGAGAACGATAAAGCTAACTGCTTCTGTAAAGATTGACAGCCTCGAAAACTCAAAGTGGCAATTCTGCTGTGTCCTATCAGGTCTCCGTCAGTTGGGATTGATATGATGGCAGTGGGTCCAGCTCAGGTTTGTATCAGGGGGAGTGAAAGGCATGCTGGCAGTAAAGTAGTCAGTAATTCTTATGTTGCTCCTTGAAACATTGCATTTCTGGAACAGTAGACTGGGGTATCTTGTGTTACTTGGGACAAGGCTCATGGTGGGGTGGGGTGTCTCAGTTCCCTAGCTCCAGCCTGTCTTAGGTGGGCACTGTGGGCCTGAGCCTCAGGGCTGGGCTTTCGCTGCATCATGAAAGCTCTGATGTGGAGGAAGTTCAGGAAACACCTGCTATCTGGAGTTCCACCAGATGGCAGCAGAGTGATGGAGAGGTGTGGCAGTGGAGAGAGCGTGGGAGGATGACTCTGGCCCATACAAAGGGTCCAAGAAAGGCCCAGGAACAATGACGCTCTAGTTCAAAAGAAGTTCTAAAGAGCGGCACATGCTGATCCTGGACACAGCAGCAGCAGGGGCAGGGAAGCTGCACTGAGAGGAGCAAGTGGCCTGTCCAGGTCACCCAGATGGGCACTCCCTCCCTGACCATCCCAGCCACCCATCAGCACCCACTGTCCACGGCAGGTCCTGGTAGTGCACCATCATCTGCACCACCTCGGCTGCTCCCTCTGTCAGCTGCTTCTCCTTGCCTTTGGGGAGTTTGGGGGGCCACCCATGGTGCAGGAAGAGATTAGGGGCCATCACAGTGGACACGTTCCACAGCATCATCTTGTTGCTCTGTTCCCAGGCCACCACCTTCCTGAGGAACTCCAGGAGTGCCTGAAGAAGGGCACAAAACCTCCCTTGAATTCCAGCATGTTCCAGAGACTTCCTCACTGTTTCCAGAACAATGTGATTTGGGGCCATGTGGAAGGAGCCAGAGCTGGGAGGAGAGTACTAGATGTTTTAGTTCCTGCTGTGCCATTAGCCCACCCTGCTACTGCTCTGTCTCCGTGTTTTTGCTCTGTAAAATGTAACCAAAATCCTGGCCCTGGCCGACTCGCACAGAGATGAGTGAGGAGATCAGGGTCAGACTTCAACTTCCAGGAAGTAATGAAGAAAAACCTTTGAGAAGTGGTCTTTTCCTGGTGAGCCTTAGACAGTCAGCTTCTTTCTAGTATCTAGATATGGCCAAAAATGAAAGAAGTGAGAAGTCAAAAGGATGGGAAGAAAAGGGGAAGAGGATAATAGCTACCATGTGTTACGTAATCCTTGTATCCCTGGCCTTGTTATTAGAGCCATGCATCTATTTGTTACCTCACTTAGTCCTCACAGTAACTTTAGGTTGGTTCTATTATTAAACATAAATCCTCACAACGAGACCACTAAATAACATCATGATCAATGTAGTAATGATTGAAGTGGTCCAACACTTCATTTGGCTTCGATCCATAATCACACTCATGGAAGCAGCAGCCAAGAAATCAAATGATGTATTGAGTTAAGCAAATCTACTGCAAAAGGCCTCATTAAAGTGTTAAAGAGCAAAGATATTAGTTTGAGGACTAAGGTGTGATTGACTCAGGCCATAGTATTTTCAAGGGTATAATATGCATGAGAAAGTTGGATAACAAATAAGGAAGACTGTAGAAGAATCTATGCATTTGCATTGAGAAGAACACTAAAAGTATCATGGTCTGTCAGAAGAACAAACAAATCTGTGTTGGAAGAAGTATCCCTCCTTAGAAGTCAGAATGGCAAGACTTTGTTTATCATACTTCAGACATGTTATTTGGGAGGGATCAGTCCCTAGAGATGTTCAACCATATCAAGAGGTAGCATATGATCAAGAGCCAATGATCCTGAAGGAAGAAGTCCAAAGTACATTGAAGTCATTGGCAAAGAACAAGGCACCAGGAATTGATGGAATACAAACTGACGTCTTTCAACAAACTGATACAGCACTGGAGGCACTCACTCATATATGCCAAGAAATTTGGACAACAGCTACCTACCTGGCCAATTGACTTGAAGGATATCCCTACTTGTGCCCATTCCAAAAAGAGGTGATCCAACAGAATGAAGAAATCATTGGACAATATCATTGATATCCCATTTGAAGTTTTACTAAAGATAATACAAAAATAACTGTAACCATACATTGACAAAGAACTTCCAGAGCTTCAAGCCGGATTCAGAAGAGGACCTGGAATGAGGGATACCAATGATGATGTCAGATGGGTCTTGGCTGAAAGCAGAGAAAACCAGAAAGATGTTTACTTGTGCTTTATTGACTATGCAAAGGCTTTTGATTGTATGGATCCTGACAAGCTATGAACAACATTGTAGAGAATGAGTATTCTGGAACACTTAATTGTATTCATGAAGTGCCTGTACATAGACCAAGAGGCAGTTGTTCAAACAGAACAAGGGAACACTGAGTGGTTTAAAATTAGGAAAGATGTGCACCAGGGTTGTATTTTTTCACCATACTTATTCAACAAGGAGCTCTGGTAGCATAATGGTTATGAATCGGGCTGCCAGCCGCAAGGTCAGCAGTTAGATACTACCAGCCGCTCCGCGGGAGAAAGATGAGGCGGTCTGCTCCCATAAAGATTTCCAGCCTCAGAAACCCTGTGTAGGGTCACTATGAGTTGGAACCGACTCCACGGCACATAACAACAACAACAACAGTTCAATTTGTGTGGTGAGCAAATAATCCGAGAAACTGGATTATATGAAGAAAAACATGACTTCAGAATTGGAGGAAGGTTTGCAGATGATATAACCTTGCTTGCTGAAAACAAAGAGGATTTAAAATACTTACTGATGAAGATCAAAGACCACAGCCTTTGGTGTTGGTTGTATCTCAATGTAAAGAAAACAAAAATCCACACCACTGGACCAATAAATAATATCACAATAAATGGAGTAAAGATTGAAGTTATCAAAGACTTCATTTTGTTTGAATCAACCATCAACACTCATGGAAGCAGCAGTCAAGAAATCAAATGATGTATTGCATTAGGCAAATCTGTTGCAAAAGCTGTTTTGTTTTTTTGTGTTTTTTGCACAAGATGTATTTAAAGTGTTGAAGAGCAAAGATATCAGCTTGAGGACTAAGGTGCGGCTGTCCCAGGCCATGGTATTTTAAATAACCTCATATGCATGCGAAAGTTGGAAGTGAATAAGGAAGACTGTAGAAGAACTAATGCATTTGAGCTATGGTGTTGGAACAGAATATTAAAAGTACCATGGACTGCCAAAAGAACAAACCAATCTGGGTGGAAGAAATATCACCAGAATGCTCCCTGGAAACCAGGATGGACAGACTTCTCTCATACTTCAGGCATATTGTCAGGAGGGACCAGTGCCTGGAAATGTTATCATGTTTGGTAAAGTGGAGGGTCAGAGAAAAAGAGGACAACCCCCAGTGAGATGGATTGGCACAGTAGCAGCAACAATGGGCTCAAGGGTAGCAATGATTGTGAGCTTGGCACAGGACCGGGCAGTGTTTTCTTCTGTTGTGCATAGGGTCACTATGAGTTGGTACCAACTCGATGGCACCTAACAACAACACAACAAGTCCCTGGAGTAAAGGGTAAAGTGGAAGGTCAGAGTAAAAGAGGAAGCTCCCCAACGAGACGGACTGACACAGTGGCAGTAGTTAAAGCATAATAACAAAGGACCGGGCAGTGTTTCATTCTGTTATATATAGAGCCACTATGAGTCAGAATCATTTCAAAGGCACCTAACAACAGCAACAGCTATTGCACAGAAATCAAGACTTGGAAGTGTTCCAATGCTACACAGCTAGTAAGGATGGATGGGAAGGAAAACAGATGGAAGGAAACAGGATAGACTGTATCCTCTTAGGAAGATGGATGGATGAATGGGTGGGTATTTGGATGGATGTTTGGATGGATGGATGGTGGATAACTGCTATGTACTACATCTACTCCAGGATTGATCATGTGCTAATTTTTGTAATTTCCAAAACAACCACACAAAATTGCTGTTACTATCTCCAATTTACTGAGAGGGAAATGGAAATTCAAAGAGGTTGTCTCTTCAACTAAAGTTAAGGCACAAGAAGTGGAAGTCACTTGAACCCAGCTCTATTTGGCTACAAAGACTTCTTGTGGCCTCCTATATCCGCACCAGACAAGGGTAACAGTAGACTCTAGGCCTCCTCACAGCCTCATCCTTGGAAGCATATCTTGAGTCTGACCCAAGCACATTAAGGAAGGTGTAGGGAGCTAAATCAAGACTGAGTACCAGCCTCCATCCCAGAGCACCCACCCCAGTAGCACACAATAGCATTTCCCCAAGGGAGTGTTTTCCAGATGGGTCCCCACAGACTACCAGTGCTATGTAAACATCTCCACAACAAAAGCAGACATTATCAAATAGGTTTGGGAAGTGCTACATACTCTAGTCCCACTTGGAAATTCACAAAGCCTTAGAATATTATAGGCTCTGAGAAGTTCCTGCAAGAAAGACTTATCCTTGACTAGGTCTCATTAACCCAGCGCTTGCTTATTTTATTTGTACTTAGAACCCTCTTCTTTGTGACACCTGTAAGGACCATATGGAACTGGTGTTCTGCAGAAATACCATCCCTTTTCAGGACTCAATGGCTTTGTTTAAGAAAACAAATATCAGGAAAGTCTGTGTTGGTCATCCCTGCATCCAGCATCTGGCATAGTTGTGGGCTGAATGAGCACATCTGGAGTCATGACTGGTTGAAGGCTAAGGTGGTAGAGCAGAGGCAGCCCCTGTAACGCTTACCTTCAAGGTGCTTCTGTTGGGTTCCGGGAGGAGCAGGAAGAGCAGGTGGAGAGCCTGCAGACGTTGTTTCAGGTTGGGGATGGCTGAGGGAAGATGGAGGACCAGAGTCTCCCTGGGAGGTTCAGGACTCCCCTTCCCTCTGTCTGAAGGCCACTTCTTGGGGAGGGACGATCACAGAAAGTCCAGGACAGCCCAGAATCCCTTCTTCACAAAGCCTAACGCTGTTCCCTGGACCAGCGTGAGCCCAGAAATAGCCCCAAGCAGTGCTGCTACAGAAAGGCTCACTCCCTGTGCATCATGAACACAGACAGACACATGTACTTACATGTGCACACACATGAATACAACACACACATGAATACACATATGTGTACACACGACGTACAGATGCAGACAAGTGAGCATGCAGATATGTACAAAGAAACATGTGTGCAAGCACACAGAGACACTTGTGTGAACATACATTGTACAATGAACAGAGACATGTATTGCTGACATATAAGCACACATACATGTGTGTAGGAACATACACATCCAGACATGCAGTCTGAGAACTATAGCCCAGAATTTAAAAAAATGCAGTGTGTCTGCCAGGCACAACATTTTGGTGCAAATTCACATACAATGCATACTGCTCTGCCTGAACACCGGCATGCCACCCCAGCCAGACACATCAAAGGATCAAAGGGTATAAAAACATACTGCGGTCTGTACATACACACTCAGCTATATTACTCAGAGAGACGGGGAAAGTGCATGTGTAAGTTAGGCACACATGCAGTGGGAGGCTAGCTGAGGGTTTAATCTGTTTTTGTTTGTTTTCTTTCCTGGTTTTAATGAGAAAGGTTGTGGGAAATCACTTGTTCATTCTAGGAACGCCCCTACCTATCAAGCATTCCAGGTACCTCAGATACAGTAGTGAAGGATGCAAACAAGGTCACAGTCACATTTCACAAGAGAAGACAGATAATAAACAAGCAGAAAAATGACAAAATATCTCCAAACCCTGACACAGCTTCACAGAAAGTAACACAGTCTCATGATGAGCAGTAGGCAGCCAATGTGACGTGAGATGACATTGAGCTGACATTGGAATGACAAGAAGAGCCAAGTGAAGGGGGGAGCAAGTGAGGGGCTTTGCAGACAAGATAGAACAGTGAATGCTGAGGCTCTGAAGAAGAGAGAAGAAGGAGGGACACAAAGCAGGTGGTGAGAAAGGGGCCCGAAGATGGGTCAGAGGTAGGAGGGCCTGTTTCATTACTAGTGTACTGTGGAAGGCATGAAGCAATGGAGTGTGGTGATTGGATTGTGCTTCAAAATGAGGCTGGGAGGAGCAATGGCTGGAGTGTGCCGTCAGAGTCTCGGGCCCTGGCTTGAGGGTAGAAGAAATCAGACTGGCCAAACAGTGAAGCTTTCTGCAGAATTCAGAGAGACAGAAAGAGCGGCTGGGAGAGGGGAGAGAAATCGATGTCCCTTGAAGTGGTAAGTGATTGGTTAACATTTTGAGAAAAACAAAAGGGACTGTGTTTGTCTCCAACGGATCCTGAGAAGTCCAGACAGAAACACATGTATTAGAATATGAATAGAGCAGTGTCTGTGCAATACATGCCAATCTGCAGACCTATGCACAGACAGACAGACAAGCACATAAACGCATGGGCCCATGTGTGTACTTGGGTAAGCTCAGCCGACAGAAATCAGGAGGGGAAGGGAGCTGGGCCACGTGAAGGACAGCATCGAGGACTGGGTATGGCAACACTTAGCCTCCTCCTCTCCTGAAACCTCTGATTGCCCATTACATGTGCACATGCACGTTCACACATGGGCACATACATGAACAAGTCTCTGAGTCTCTCCACTTCCTCCTCTGTCATCTCCAGAGCACAGGGAACAGACATCCCTGGAAATGGGTTTCCTGCTTTCCTACCACTTTCTCTCTCCAGCTTCCCAGGGCAAAGGGCCCCAGCACACTCACTGGGCACCATGGCAAAAGCTGGAAGGTACTTGGCAGTGAGCAGAGGTGCCGGCAGCGCCCGGAGGAATCTTTTCAGCAGGTCACATGCATCATTGTGATGAACCTCATCCCAGCAAAACAGACCCATGTAGAAGTCTTTCTCCAGCTTTTGTTCCAGCCCCTGAAGGATGGAGGAGGCACCGGTGAGAAATTGGCCCAAAATTTCAGTATAAGTGGCTTGAATTGAGACAGCCTCAAGTTTCCTTAGCTGTAAAATGGACAATAATAGCACCTACCTTGTAGGGTTGGCAGGAAGCTTAAGGTAGATCACTGAGCACAGGACTAAGCAGAGCAGAGGGAGGGTAATGAGCACCCAGGGCAATCTCTAAATTGGGACCTCCAAAATTTGAATGCTGGGAGACCAGGTGTGGTGCCATAGGATAAGCACTCTACCTCATGGTCTGTTTGAACCACAAGGTCGGCGGTTGAAACTCACCAGCTGCTCCTCAGAAACCCTATACAGGGTTGCTATGAGTCAGAACTGACTGGACAGCACTTAACAACAACAAGAAATTTGAATGCCCAGGGGAAATCTCTAAATTGGACTCCCCTCTAATTTCAAAAGGAGCCCTGGTGGCATAAAGAGTTATGTGTTGGGCTGCTAACCCCAAGGTCAGCAGTTCTAACCCACCAGCTGCTCTTGGGAGAAAAATGAGGCAGTCTGCTTCTGTAAAGAGTTATGCCTGAGAACCTCTGTCCTATAGAGTCACTGTGGGTCAGAATTGACTCGATGGCAGTGAGTTTGAATTATTTTTTCTTTCCTAATTTCAAGATGAATAGATGTTGATAGCAATGATCCATCACTGGAAGTGCCTTTCCCCCTTGTGCCTGATTGTCTGGTGCCCCCTTGTACTTGGGCCTAGGGGCAAGTCCCCCTCATTACACTTGTGGATGTCTTCAGTCCTTGAGAAAGGACATTGGGCCACAGGGGGTTAACTGCTCAACAGCACCGGACTTCCTGTACCTGCTATACCTTAGACACACCTCTGAGGCTGAGCTAAAAAAATGTTGGCCAATCCAACTTTCAACCATCTTGCTTTACTGGACCAATCCTGCCCTTTCAAATCCTCCTGGAATTCTATCACTACAGAGATCAAAGACGAAAAACTACAAACTGCATGGTGGTGGTGGTGTGTTGTGGACTTGGTTCTGACTCATAGCGACCCTGCATAGGGTTTCTGAGGCTGTAAATCTTTACAGGAGCAGAAAGCCTCATCTTTCTCCCTTAGAACCGCTGGTAGTTTCGAACTGCTGACCTTGAGGTTAACAGCCCGACTCATAACTACTACGATACTAGAGTACCTACAAACAAACTGTATAGTGTGTACATAAAGGTACCAGGATATATAGCCTCAATGAAGCAGGGGAAGCCAAATCATTACCTTAACTCTGGCCTGTGATCCCGGCACCCTGAGGATGCCTTCTGTGTCCAGGCCTCTGTTTTCTAAACAGGACAGCAGCTTTGAGAAAGAAAAACAATGCTTTCACCAACTATCACTGATAAATGGGCTACAAACTGGTATGTCTGCCTCCCATGACAACCAAGAAGAGGGAGTTGCTCAGAGAAGGGTTTTGTTTAAAATAATCGCAATAGCTTTCTGGGCCATTTCCAAGAGTCGAACATTGTGTATACAGGTTGACATGCTTGCTTTTTTTTTTTTTCATTTAGTGCTTATGATAAGGAGGATAGTATTATTATTAATCCTACTTTACAGATGTTGAAAAGGATATTCATAAATATTCAATAATTAACTCTAGATTTCTCCAGTAACAACAGTAAGAACTAGAATTTGAACCCAGGTCTCCCTGAGTCTAGAGCCCATGCTCTTATCCCCTATTCTGTGTTCCTCCCAACAATGGTACCCAGAGCCAGCCTCTCAAGAGGAGGCTCAAGCTGGGGAAAACTTACAGCTTGAAGAATCAGTGGGACCTGGGTGTTGGGGAGGAGTTTGTGGTCAGCTTCCAGCAAGGCTTCAAGAGACATGCCAAAAAGGCAAGTTTCTGTAGGAAGTCAAGAGGGCAGAAGAGCTTTTCACTTCCTGGAATCACAATTTGGCTCCAATGTGAAAGATCTCTTGGGCAATTGGACTCAGATCTTTGCCCTGTGTAAGGTCTGGGCTCTCCGAAGAGTGGCTGAGCCCCAAATTCTCCTCATCTTGTGAGCAGAACATTTGGCCTCAGTGATGCAGAAAACGTTAGCTGTGTACAGAGCAGAAAATCTCAGCTGGATAAAGAGATATGAAGACTCCTGAGCCCATGGACAAGGATTTAGCCACAGAGGGCTAGAGCTGAGACTGAAGCATCCAGCTGATATGAAGTGAGGGGAGACACACAAGAACAACCAATTTTCACCTAGCTTCGATGGCTTGATGATCAGAACTTGACTAAAGGAAGATAAAAATTTTTTTGATAAAGGAAACAAGCGCAAATTGCTACAATTTGATGAACTTGACCTATATACTTCTAGATGTAGTAGCTCAAAATACCGACTGAGAGCCAAGGAGTTTTCCGGTCAATACTATCCCTACTATATACAGGGTTGATAGAGATGGGCAACTTAGACATTGGCTACCTAAAATGGAGTCGGGGGTGGTGGGGGGTGGTGTGTTATAGAGGTACAAAGTGACTGGCTTATAAGTTTTCAAGAGAGAGTTTAGTTTAAGAGTGTGCAGGGGAAGATAGAGTCCCCACTGAATAATTCTCATCTGGTCTAAATGGGTCTGGTGAAAGGAGATGTGGATAGGAGTCTTATGGTTCAATAGTATTTGGTATCATGACTGTGATTGTCACAACTGCAAAGGTAGAAGTTTTGTAACAAAAAGGGGTTAGTAGTGAATCTTACAGTCCAGGAACAGAGGATCCTAGGATCATCAAGAGCGCAAGCAGAATGTGGGACTCTATCCAGAGAAGCAGCAACACCAGAGATGGAGGCAGAGATGATGACATGGAGAGAAGAAAAAGCTGAGGACTCTAGACTCATGGAAAGAGAAAGACTGTGTGCTGGTGACCAGGAGGCAGGCTTGCCCTTGGGTTG